TGCCGCAGAGGGCGCGCCTGCGCTCGGAGACAGGCCTCCTCCCGAAGGGAGGCCCACGACGCCTCCCCGAGCGGATGATGGAGGATATCTCGAGCCTCCTCGCAGCATAGAGAGTCAGGAGTTCACGCTGGAACGTGCGGCCTTCAGCTGCGGTAGTCCCCTGCAGGAGCTACAGACCGAACAGGTGGTCGTCGGCCACAGCGCGTCGGTGCCCTCCCGTCCAGGAGACAACCAAGCAGCGCGTTCCTACAACCCCTCACTCCTATCAGCGTCCCGGGGGCGGTCTCGTTGTTGAGGCGGAAGATGCGGCCGAAATTGCGCCCCCCTCTGGCAGCAGAATCGTGGCGACAGTCGGGAATGCCGCAGAGGGCGCGCCTGCGCTCGGAGACCGGCCTGCTCCCGAAAGGAGGTCCACGACGCTTCCCCGAGCGGATGATGGAGGATATCTCGAGCCTCCTCGCAGCATAGAGCGTCAGGAGTTCACGCTGGAACGTGCGGCCTTCAGCTGCAGTAGTCCCCTGGGAGAGCTACAAACTGAACAGGCGGTCGTCAGCCACGGCGCGCCGGCGCCTTCCCGTCCAGGAGACTACCAAGCAGGCGTTCCCACAGCCCCTCACTCCTATCAGCGCCCCGGGGGCGGCGTCTTTGTTGAGGCGGAAGATGCGGCCGAAATTGCGCCCCCCCCTGGCAACAGCATCGTGGCGACAGGTGGGGGTGCTGCTGAGGGAGCGCCCGCGGTCGGAGACCAGCCTCCTCCCGAGAAGAGGTCCACGACGCCTCCCCGAGCGGATGGTGGAGGATATCTCGAGCCTCCTCGCAACGTCGAGGGTCAGGAGTTCACGCTGGAACGTGCGGCCTTCAGCTGCAGTAGTCCCCTGGGAGTGCTACGGCCCGAACAGGTGGTCGTCAGCCATAGCGCGCCGGCGCCTTCCCCTCCAAGAAATGACCAAGCAGGCGTTCCTACAACCCCTCACTCCTATCAGCGTCCCGGGGGCGGTATCGTTGTTGACGCGGAAGACGCGGCCGAAATTGCGTGCCCCCCTGGCAACAGTATCGCGGCGACAGTCGGGAATGCCGCAGAGGGCGCGCCTGCGCTCGGAGACCGGCCTGCTTCCGAAAGGAGGTCCACGACGCCTCCCCGAGCGGATGATGGAGGATATCTCGAGCCTCCTCGCAGCATAGAGAGTCAGGAGTTCACGCTGGAACGTGCGGCCTTCAGCTGCAATAGTCCCCTGGGAGAGCCACAAACCGAACAGGTGGTCGGCAGCCACAGCGCGCCGGTGCCTTCCCGTCCAGGAGACAACCAAGCAGGCGTTCCTACAGCCCCTCAATCCTATCAGCGTCCCGGGGGCGGTCTCGATGTCGAGGCGGAAGATGCGGCCGAAATTGCGCCCCCCCCCTGGCAACAGCATCGTGGCGACAGTCGGGAATGCCGCAGAGGGCGCGCGTGCGCTCGGAGACCGGCCTCCTCCCGAAAGGAGGTCCACGACGCCTCCCCGAGCGGATGATGGAGGATATCTCGAGTTTCCTCGCAGCATAGAGAGTCAGGAGTTCACGCTGGAACGTGCGGCCTTCAGCTGCAGAAGTCCCCTGGGAGAGCTACAGACCGAACAGGTGGTCGTCAGCCACGGCGCGCCGGTGCCTTCCCCTCCAGGAGACAACCAAGCAGGCGTTCCTACAACACCTCACTCCTATCAGCGTCCCGGGGGCGGTATCGTTGTTGATGCGGAAGATGCGGCCGAAATTGCGTGCCCCCCTGGCAACAGTATCGTGGCGACAGTCGGGAATGCCGCAGAGGGCGCGCCTGCGCTCGGAGACCAGCCTCCTCCCGAGAGGAGGTCCACGACGATTCCCCGAGCGGATGGTGGAGGATATCTCGAGCCTCCTCGCAGCATAGAGAGTCAGGAGTTCACACTGGAACGTGCGGCCTTCAGCTGCAGTAGTCCCCTGGGAGTGCTACAGACCGAACAGGCGGTCGTCAGCCACAGCGCGCCCGTGCCTTCCCCTCCAGGAGACGACCACGCAGGCGTTCCTACAACCCCTCACTCCAATCAGCGTCCCGGGGGCGGTCTCGTTGTTGAGGCGGAAGATGCGGCCGAAATTGCGCCCCCTCACTCCTACCAGCGCCCTGGGAGCAGAGTCTTGGCGGACGCCGAATATGCGCCCGAAATGGCGCACTCTCCTGGCAACAGCATCGCGACGGCAGTTCGGAATGCTGCGGACGGCACTGCGGAAATCGGATACATTCCGCGCGCAACAGACAGCCAGGAGGTCGTAAATCCAAACGCGGCCGTCAGTTGTTACAGTTCTCGCGTCGTGGGGGTGCGCGAAAATGTGACTGACCGCGGCCCTGGGCGCTCACGATTGGAGGTTTCGCCTGACTCCTGGAGGTGCGCGCGGGCCACAGACGGGCGCGTGTTTGCGATCGGCGCAGACCCTCCAGCCAACGCCTCCGAGGCCATCACCGTGGCCGACGGCCGATACGGAGCCCATTACTTGCAAAGCCTGGGGCTGTCGATACATCTGGTTGGCGGCGAGACCCAACAACGCCCCGCTGCGACTCCGCCCGCCGCCGCCCCTGGTACTTTCGAAGACCCCTCGCTGGGGAACCACGAACATGCCTTGCAGAGGCAGGACATCGAGGCCATCCGCCAGCTTGTCGAGAGAAGTCCCTTCGCGCCCATTCGCCCTCGCTCCCCTGTCAGCGAATCCGCCCGAACGGACAGCGAACCGCAGCCACTCCCTCTCGAAGGGCGGGCCACGCTGAGGAAGGCGACTCCCGTCCTGGCGAAAGGGACGGTGTCTGACAATGTGCCTGGGCCAGGTGCGACCCGCAGCACTCCCACACATGGCGAAAGTCACGCTGCGACAGATGGGGGCGCGCTCGCGGGCGAGGGCGGGCGCGGGTCTGAAGGCGAGCGCCAACGGGAGGGGCCTGCCCCCGCTTACCACAGTGCAGCGTTCCTCTCCGCCCCAGCTGCTGGTGGCGACTCGGCCTTTACCTGGCGGCCAACCGCGCGGCCCGCGCCAACCCGCAAGTCCCCGCCAGGCTTCCGTGCCCCAGTAGCCGCCGCGCCTCGCGAAGCCATAGACGATTCCGGCGGCGGGCCCAACCGGTCGGAACAGTCGCAGAGCAGCGAGCGCGAGCAGCATGCGGAGCAGGAGCCGGAAGAGCCCGATGAGCAGGAGCTGCCGGCCGCCCACGGGGAGGGCGCGGAAGCGGCGCCAGCACAGAAATGGGAGCATGGGCAAGAACAGGAACAGGCAACCACCCACCGCCGCACTCCCCTGGCTGACACTACTTGCCCTGGCCCCTCCCTCCCTGGCAATGGCGCGAGCTCGAGCGCCGAGGAACGACGGCAGCGCGGCCGGAACGTTCCCCCAGCGCGTCTTCGCGGCAGCAGGTGGGCGCCCTGCCTAGCCTCTGTGACTGGCGACCTTCCAGTCTCCCCGCCGCCCCTGGGCCGAAACCTGGCCCGTAGCGACGCCGACCGCGCTGGCGGGTCTGGTGGGCGGCAGACGGCAGGCGGCGGACGCGGCAGCAGCAGCCGCAGAAGCAGCAGCAGGCGCCGCGCCGAGGACCAGCCGCTGACCACCCCGCCCCTGGTAGCGGGCCCCGCCGCGCGTCACTGTCCAGAACCGTTAGACCCAGACACGGGACAGCAGCTATATAAAGCTAAGGTCGGCGGCATCCAGTGGGACCCCCCGGGGGGGCACCTGGCGAGACGATGCAGCGGCTTCAGGTCACCCTGGGAGCGAGGTTCACAGGCGCCTGGCACGCGTTCGCCCAGCAGCACGCCATGCCTGGCAGCAAAGGCGCGCTCGACCCGCGGCGGCACGACCAGCAAACGTGCGTCAATTTCCTGTCCTCCTTCCGCAGCCATAATTGCGACGTGCGGGGCAGGGGCGACGCGCTGGACCTCGGCGTTGACTGGGCGCAGTTGCGGCTTCGGTACCTGGGTGGAAGTGGCGGCGCGGGCAGGGGGCGCCAGGCGGCGAAGGGCCACGCTGATCGCCGCGCACCCAGGAAGGACCAGAAACAGTGGAAGGTCGTCACCTGAAGCCGCGGGCGCGCCCGCCCTTGTTTCACCCTAATTCACTCTGGCTTCTCCTCGGTGTGGCCGTGACCCGGCCTTCCAGCGGGCAGCCTTATGCAGCTTAGGTTTTGTACGGTCGCGACAGGGTCGGGTGTGGTCTATCCTACTTGGCTCCTGGCGTTGCCAACAGGTCCACAGGTGTCACAGGTGGCACACTTCGAATGACTGCTGGTCGTGCGTCGCATCCGCTGGCGCCGCCTTCATTGTCCCGGTGTCACTCGCCACTGGCTGCGCACGAGCACCCTGGGTACATTTTTGGCATTGGGTGTGGTCCATCCTGCTCGGTTGCATTGCTATGTATTCACAGGTCTTGCTATGCTATGCATGGACCACGGTGCACATGATTGCTCCTGGGACGCAGGTTTACCTACCTTTGAGCGGTTATTACTTGATCTGTCGGTGTGCGACGCTTCGGCTGGCGCCTTCAGATTTCGCGCCTTTTTGGCAGCGCGTGTCAGGTTTGGCTAATTTGGTGCTCCCTGGGTTTCCCTGGGTCACCTTGCAGCTCTGCCCTGGGTTCAGCTCTCCCGGGGATCAGCCTCACCCTCGCCGCAGATGCTGCTTGCTGCATCCGGCGCCGCCGCGGCCGCCTAGTCGCGCGCGTTAGCCGTCGGTAATTTAAGCTGGTCGCGGCCCGACCTACTTCGCCCGCCGCTGGCGCGTTCGCCTGCGGCCGTCAAAAAAAAAGAAGTACCCCCATCAGTCCGCACCCCCCTTGGCTCAAGCCCCCTGGCTCAAGCCTTGGCTCAAGGGCTCGAGGTTGGCCGGCGCGGCCTGGGGGCCGCCGTCTCCCCCTGGGTTAGGCATTGCCGCGTCCCCGTCTCCTGGCGTGCCGCGGGCGGCGCTGCGCCGCGCTCAGCGCCGGGTGGCGGCCGCGCGGCTCGCCGCCGCCCTGGCTGCCGCATGCTGCGGCGGCTGGCGCCGCTGGCGCTGCGCGCGCGGCCGGTGCCGCTAGCGCTGCCGCTCCCGCGGCCGCAGGCGACGGCGCCGCCGACGCGGCCTCCGCCGCGTGCGCCGCCGCCGCGGCCGCGGCCCGCTGCGGCTGCCGCCGCTGGCTCCCTTCCGGCGGCGGCGGCGGCCGGCGACGCCGCGGCCGGCGTCGCGGCTGCCTTTGCGGCGGCCGCTGCAGCCCTGCCCGACTGCCTGCCGCGCAGCCAGCCTGACGGTCAGCCCCGCGGCCTGCCTGGCTGCCCGCCCCACGGCCCGCCGGGCGGCCAGCCCGACGGCCCGCCCCGTGGCCAGCCAGGCTGCCAGCCTCACGGTCGGCCCCAGGGCCAGCCCTATAGGGCTGCGCCGCCGCGCAGGGCGTCGCCAACCGCAGAGCGCCCAGCAGCGGCCCCCTGGTGGCAGTCAGGAGCAGTCACTTGGTGACCGCAGGAAGACGCCCCATGGCGGCGACAGTCTGCGGCAACTGCAGCGAGCAAGGCACCCCTGCGTCCCCGCGCCCGAGCCCTGACGCCCTCGCAGGCACCCCCGGCGGCCAGCAGGCTTCGCAAAGAGAAGCAGGGCCCGTTAGGCCAGAAGGGAACGCAGCGGTGGTGGCATCGGGCTCACAACGAGAAACAGGGCCCGTTAGGCCAGAAGGGAACGGGGACGTTCCTCGCGATTCTGACAGTCAAGAAGAGGTACCCTTGCATCCCCGCGCCCGGGCCCTGACGCCTCACGGGCACCCCTGGCTGCCAGCAGACCTCTCACATAGATGCAGGGCCCGTTGGGCCAGAAGGGAACACAGCGGTTCTGTCATCGGACTCACAAGGAGAAGCAGGGCCCGTTAGGCCAGAAGGGAACGCAGCGGTGGTGGCATCGGGCTCACAACGAGAAACAGGGCCCGTTAGGCCAGAAGGGAACGGGGACGTTCCTCGCGATTCTGACAGTCAAGAAGAGGTACCCTTGCACCCTTGCGTCCCTGTGTCCTTGGGCGAACAAGGCACCCTTGCCTTCCCGCGCCCAGGCCCCGACGCCCTCGCGGGCACTCCTGGCGGCCAGCAGACCTCTCAAAGAGAACCTGGGCCCGCTAGGCCAGAAGGGAGCGAAGCGGTTGTGGCACCGGGCCCACTTGGAGAAGCAGGGCCCGTTAATCCAGCGGGGAGCGGATACGTTCTTCACGATTCTCACGAAGTGGCGCCCTTGCACCCTTGCATCCCTGCGCCCTTAGGCGAGCGAGTCGCCCTTGCATCCCGGCGTCCGAGCCCAGACGCCCTCGCGGGCCCCCCCCGGCAGCCAGCAGACCTCTGCAAGAGATGCAGGGCCCGCGAGGCCAGAGGGGAACGCCGCGGCTGCGTCACCGGACTCGCAAGGAGAAGCAGGGCCCGTTAGGCCAGAGGGGGGCGAGGTTCCGGTCTCATCGGTTCACCAAATTGACATTGGGCCCGTTAGGCCAGAAGGAAGCGGTGCTGTCTCGTGTCCCCGCCCCCCCCCCCCCCTGGCAGCCACTCAGACCCTGGGTCGCAGCAGCGCCCCGCAGCAGCGACCCGCGGCCGCCCTGGGGGGGGGGGCATTGCGGGAAGGCGCACGCCCTGCTGACAGAGCCTCCGCAGCCATCAGAAGCCCGCGCCTCGGATCGGACAGCGGCGCGTTGGATGGACAGCCATCCCCGATGGGGGTGGGCGACAGCAGCACCAGTCCCCTGGCGACAGTTCTTTGGAATCAGCAGCAACAGCAGCAGCAGCAGCAGCCCCCTGGTGACAGTCAGGAAGATCCCAATTCAGACGCTCCTGGAGACAGCTTCGTTGCGACAGCGGGCAGCGCCGCCGGGGGCACGCCCGCGCTCGGAGACGCCCCTCACAATTCGGACAGCCAGGAAGATGCATCCGAAAGCGCGGCCACTCGCGGAAGGAGCGCGCCCCCTCCTGGAGACAGCGTCGCGGCGACAGTAGACGCCCTGCCGGGCACCCCTGGCGGCCAGCAGACCTCGCAAGAAGAGACAGGGCCCGAACGGAGCGGTCGAGACATCGGACTCGCAAGGAGAAGCAACACCCGTTCGGCCATCCTTCAGCTGCAGCAGTTCCTTGGGAAGTCTACAGGTGGACGTCCGCCGCCGCGCGCCAGCCCCCCCCCCACCCTCCTGGAGATAGGCAAACAGGCGCTCCCACTGCCCCATCACTCCTATCAGCGCCCCGGGGGCAGCTCTGGACGAGGCCGAAAAGACGCCCGGAATGGCGCCCACTCCCGGCGACGGCATCGCGGCGGTAGTCCGGAAGGCTGCAGAGGGAGCGCTCGAAAACGGAGACCTACCACACAGAACAGAGAGCCAGGATGACGTAAATCCAAGAGCGGCCGCCAGCTGCTACAGCGCCTGCATCGGGGGCGTGGAAGGAGGCACGACTGACCGTGACCCAGGGCATCCACGACTGGCTGGCTCGCCCGACTCCTGGATGTGCGTACGGGCCACAGACGGGCGCGTCTTCGCGATCGGCGCAGACGCTCCGTCCGGCGCCCCCGAGGCCACCCCCGTGGCCGACGGCGTATACGGAGCCCGCTACCTGGAGAGCCTGGGGCTGTCGTTGCACCCAGTCGGGGGCGAGGCCCAGCGACGCCCCGCGGTGACCCCGCTCGCCGCCGCCCCTGGTGCACTCGAAGCCCCCTCTCCGGGGAACAACGCACCATCCCTGCAGAGGCGGGACAACGACGCCATCCGCCAGCTTGTCGACAGAAATCCCTACGCGCCCATTCGCCCTCCTTCCCTTGGCAGCGAGTCCGCCCGATCGGATAGCGAACCGCGGCCACTCCCTCTCGAAGCCCGGGCCTCGCCGGGGATGGCGACTTACGCCCCTAAAGAACCCGTGCCTGACAACGCGCCTGCGCCCGGGGCGACCCGCGGCATTCCCGCATCTGGCGACCGCCTCGCGGTGACACAGGCACAGGTCCGAAGGCGAGCGCCATCGAGAGGGGCATGCCCCCGCACTCCACAGAGCAGCGCCCCTCCCTGCCCCCGCTGCCGGGGTCGATCCGGCACCCGCCTGGAGGCCAACCGCGCGGCCCGCGCCGACCCGCGCGGCCTCGCCAGGCGCTCCTGCCCTAGCAGCCGCCGCGCCGCGCGAAGCCATGGGCGACTCTGGCGGCAGGCCCAACCAGGCGGAGCTGTCGCAGAGTCAAGCGAGAGCAGCAGGGGCCCGAGGAGCCCGACGAGAAGGACGCGCCCGCCGCTCGCGGGGAGGGCGCAGAAGCGGTGCCGGCGCAGGAATCGGAGCAGGGGCACGAACCTACTCTCCCATGGCCGGCTCTCAGCACCCTGGCCCTTCCCCCCCTGGCAACGGCGCGAGCTCGAGCACCGAAGAACGGCGACAGGCAGGCCGCAACGTTCCTCCAGCGCGTTCGCCCAGCAACGGGTGGAAGCCCGGCCTGGCCCCGGCGACTGGCGGCTTCCCAGTTCCCCTGCCGCCCCTGGGTCGAAACCCCGCCCATGGCGACGCCGACGCCGCTGGCGGGCCTGGCGCGCGGCCAACGACAGGCGGCGGACGCGGCAGCAGCAGCAGCGGCAGCAGCAGCAGCAGAGGCAGAAGCAGCAGCAGCAGCAGCTGCCGCTCCATGGACCAGCCGCCGACTACCCCGCCTCGGGAAGCGAGGCCCGCCGCGCGCCAAGGGCCTCAACCCTCAGGCCCCGACGCGGGGCAGCAGTTGCATAAAACCAAGATCAGTTGCATCCAGTGGGGTCTCCCCGGGGAGACCCTTGGCGAGACGATAGGGCGGCTCCAAGCCACCCTGGGTGCGATGTTCACAGGCGCCTGGCGCGCGTGCGCCAGGCAGCACATCGAGGGCGCATTCGACCCGCTACGGCGCGACCAGCAAGCCTGCGTCAACTTCCTGCGCTCCTTCCGCAACCACAACTGCGAATCGCAGCCTGCGATGTGAGGGCCTTGAGCGACGCGCTGAACCTCGGCGTCAACTGGGCCCAGTTGCAGCAGCGATGCCCGAGTCGCAGAGACGGCGCGGGCAAGGGGCGCCGGGTGACGAAGGACCACTCTGACAACCGTGCCCCCAGGAAGGGCAAGACGCAGGGGAAAGGTTGTCAGCCCTAGCCCGCCCGCCCTCGACTCACCCTAGTCGCCCGCCCTTTTGCGGCAAGTGCCGCCCCCAGCTGCTCCCCTGTGCCCTGGTTCGCCGGTCCGTTTCTCCATCTGCCCCCCCCCAATTCTCGGAATGGCGCTCTCTGCGGTCTCACAACAAAATGCAAGGCCCGTTGGGCCTGAAGGATGCTGAGTGTCAGATGCGGAGTGTCAGCCTCACCCCATCCTTTGCCTGCCGAACGAGGCCCCCCCTGCGTCCGATGTCCGAGTCCTCACGTCCACGCGGACAACCCTGGCGGTCACCAGAGCTCACAGGAGGAAGCAGGGCCCGCTAGGCCAGGAGGCAGGGGGGTGACAGCCTCATCCGCCTCAACAAGTGTAACTGGGCCCAGTAGGCCAGCAGGAAGCGGAGAGACCGGCTCCCCCCCTCCCCTCCCAGGCGAAGGAAGCACCCATGGCATCCGTCCTCCGCGCTCTGACGCCGAAGGGTGCACCCCCGGTGGCATAATGACCTTGCAAGGAGAAGCCGGGCCCGTTAGGCCTGAAGAAGTCGGAATGGCGCTCTCGCCGGTCCTACAACGGGATGCAGGGCCCGTTGGGCCAGAAGGAAGCGGAGCGGCAGCCCCATCCCGTCCCCTTACTGGCGAAAGAGGCAGTCCTTGGATCCGACGCCCAAGTCTTGTCGCCCTTGCGGACGACCCTGGCGGCCATCAGTTCCCTCAAGATAAACAGGGCCCGTTAGGCCAGAAAGGAGCGGGGACACCGTGTCATCTGTCTCGCCAAGATGAACAGGGCCCGTTAAGCCAGAGGGAAGTGGAGCGACAGTCCCTCCCCGTCCTCCCGCTGGCGATCGAGGCGCCCTCGGTGTCCGAAGTCCCTGGTGCCCGCGCGGGCAACGCCGGTGGTCAGCAGACCTCGCAAGGAGAGGCAGGGCCCGTCAGGCCAGAGGGTGACGGAGGCGCGGTCTTAGCGTCCTCACAAAGGGTAGCAGGGCCCGATTGGCCAGAAGCGGGTTGCGCCACGGCGACAGGGTTCCAGTCCTCCCTGGTACTTCCCCGCAGCGAGGCGCGACAAACGCGCCGGGAGAGACAGCTGTCAGCCACAGCACTGGCATCGACAGCGGGTCTTGCGCCCCCCCCCCGACCGATCGACGGTGCGGCGCGAGGACAGCCCGCGCCGACGGGCGCGGAAGACCCGCCCCCTGTTCGCTTTGTTTCGGGCGAGGCCAACCGCCGAGACC